AACCATGAATGTCTTGACTTTCTCCTAGAAACTGGTTTCTGGACTTGCTTCTGCAACATCCTTCTGGTGATCAGCTACTGTTGCCAAGACAACATTGGTGTTGGACAGCAGGACCGAGAAGGAGACCTGTAGCTTTTTCTGATCTAAAGTGTAGTCTTCCACAAGTGGCATTGCCGTAGCATCTGTCTTCTCAATTATATGAAGCGCTTAGACTCAGGTCCTACATATCACTGACTTCCGGTTATGGCAGCGGTTCTCAACCTGTGGGTTGCAGTGACCCCTTTGGGTGTCGAACGACTTTTTCACAGGAGTTGCCCGATTCATAACAGTAGCAAGATTACATTTATGAAATAGCAACAAAAATAATTTTATGGTTGGGGGTCACCAGAACATGAGGAACTGTATTAAAGGATTGCGGCATTAGGACCTTGAGAACCACTGGGTTATGGGATGCTAACCTGACAGGCACCTTGCCACTATTCCATGATGGAGTAGTTTTTCCCAAAAACCATTTTATTGGGAGCTAATACAGATATATCGTTCCATAGTTCAATCACAAGCGGTATTGTCCAATTGCTACCACAATCAGTTTTAAAACATCCTCTTACTTGTTGAACTTCATAATATCACTTTCTTTGTAAAACACTTTAAGGTTGAGCAGAGATCACATTTCCTGCTGGCTTCTTGCTCTTTCGAGGTACAGTGTACCTGTTCTCATGTATTCTTTTCCTTGTCAAGTTAAACATCTCTAGTTCTCACTAAAAGGGGCCCTAGTGGCATAGTGGGCTATGAGTCGGGCTGCCAACTGCAAGGTCAGTAGCTCAAACTTACCAGCCGCTCTGATGGGCTTTCTGCTCCCGTAAAGATTCACAGCCTCAGAAATCCACAGGGCAGTTCTACTTTGCCCATGGGGTCACTGTGAATTATAGGCGATGGCAGTGAGAGTTCTCACAAATAATAGGTTAAGAGTACCTGCCATCCCACATCAGAACATTTGTAAGGGTCAGCAGACAGACCTGGAACTATTCATAGGCTATTTCTTTTCTTTTTTTATTCATGTCTATAGGCAGGATAAACAATCGCAAGGAGAAAACAACAGGATGGATGGTTCCAGGGGGTCGTGAGAGAGGAGGAGGGGGAGGGAAAGGAGAGAGGATCCAACAAACTCAGGGAAAGGGGAACAACAAGAGATCTAAAAGTGAAGGCAAGGAGGGCATAGAATGCCTGTTGGGGTTCATTCAATTGCAATGTCGCCAAGAGGAAGTACAGAGAGCTGAATGGAGGTTGAACATGATAGTGGGGCAAGAGGAAAGTGAAAAAAATAGAGGAAAGAACTAGGAGGCAAAAGACATTTATAAAGGTATAAACATAGGCATGTACATATGTGAATATATTAATATATAATTATAGGGATATAGGTCTATGCACAGACATTTCTAGGTTAAGTATTAAGGTAGCAGACAGACATTGGACCTCTACTCAAATCCTGCCTCCATGCAAAAACACTGTTCTAATAACCTAGCATTCTGTGGTGCTCACCTTCCCTACACAATCGATCACTGAAGACAAAATGGGCACATAAGCTAATGTGGCGAAGAAAGCTGATGGTGCCCAGCTATTACAAGAAAAAGCATCTGGGGTCTTAAAATCTTGAAGTTAAACAATTGGCCATCTAGCAGGGCAGCAACAAAGCCCATATGGAAGAAGCACACCAACCGCTTGTGATCATAAGTTGTTGATGGGATCAGGGATAAGGTAGACATCAGTGCCAGTATGAAGTATATCTCATCATTGTTTTCATTTGCATTTCCCTGTTAGCTAATAATTGAGAGATTTCTTCATACCTGGTATCAGGCATCAGAAGACCCAAAACAAAGAACCATTTTGATGCAAACGAGGAGGCCAGAATGGAGACCTAAAGACCCTCTGTAGACAATTGGACATCTCCTCACAGAATAGTCACAAGGAAGGGACAGCTAGCCGGGGTGTAGTATAGCAGCAATGAAATACAATATTCTTCTAGTTTTTTATTGCCCCCCTCTGCCACCCCTGCTGTCATGACCTCACTTCTGTCTTACAAATCTGGCTAGACCAGAGCATGCACACTGGTACAGATTAGAGCTCTGGACACACAGAATCCAGGACAGATAAACCCTTCAGACCCGATAATGAATTGTGATACCATGAGGGTAGGGGGAGGTGGGGGTGGGGGAGAAAAGGGACACCGATTGCAATGATCGACATACAACACCCCCCACCCTTG